ATATCCACCAGAGACACGAGCTGCAATGTTTGCTGCTTGCCAGTTTCTGTGCACCTTTCGCAGTTCCTACTGCAGGACTGCTTCTGAAACTCAGCCACGCTCTGCCACCTCGTCTGCCACACCGGAGCACAATCCCACTTCTCTCACAGCTACCCACTAATACCTCTCCGACTGCTTCATCCCATTCAGGGCCGCCCATGGGGGAGCTGGAGCCCATCCTGGCAAGTAACGGGCTCCAGGCAGGGTACCCCCTGGATGGGACACCAGTCCATCGCAGGGCACACACAGATACAGACACACACTCACCCCTGGAATCAAACCCAGGGCTCATCATTGCATCACCCTGCTGTCCACAAAGGGCAGCACTACCAGGCTCCTTTCAGGAAGTCCCAAGCACAGCCGTCTAATGAAACTGTAGGTCTCGACACGTTAAAAACAACGCAACTGTGGTCTTCACAACAGTGTTACTGTCAAACGTTTTATTATCTTAGGTAACGCTGCACAAGCACACAGAGCAAGGCAGAACTCATGACAGCCCCCCGGCCCCCCCGCAGTACAGGACCCAGGAATCCGAAAAAACACATGTTCGACGAGAGGAAAGGGGGGTATGTCCGCTATTTGAGAGGAATGCACCAGAGGTCACATTCCCGACTCTGCTGCTGTGGCATGCCCTGCGTGCATTTAAATGACACTTCTGCGCCTGGGAAAGACAGAGTAGGCAACTAACGAGCGGCCCACTTCCAGCCGAGTTTCTGGAGGCGCTGCACACAATGTCTGGGCATTGTCTGAAAGGGGCCGCTGCCCTCCTGCCACTGCGCTGCAGAAAAAGAAAACAGCGGAGGAGCTGGTGTCTCACACATCAGAGTATCGCTTCTGCCTTGCGGTTACGTGACCTCCGAGGTCAGATCTCCGGCTGCAGAAGCAGGTGTCCCTATAAATAACTCTGGCAGCAGTCGGGCAGTATCGCTGAAGAACACTGGAGAATGAGAGAGAATTCAGATCTTTGATTTGTGCCATGTAACCTTAGACGTGACACAGCCTTAAGCAGAGGATCTAACCAAACTAATCATGAAAAAGCATCCTTGGTTTGGGGAATTAATTCGGAGGCCTCATTTGGGTAAAAATGAACAGATCTGTTTAATTCGGCTAATTATCTGAAAATAATCCGTCAGCTCAAGTTTGGATAATCTCAAAATCAGATGCGTATTCGTGAGCTCTAGAGAGTTAAAACCCTCTAAGGATCTCTAACTTCTCAATGGCTAAAAGACATCAAAACACTTGAGATTAATTGCTTGATTCGTGAAAAGATCAAATACACAGCTAAACAGCTGCTTCTGTCAAACACCTACAGTACAATAAAGATGCAGGCCCGGTATTTGGGAACCTTGCATTTTATAAAGTCATTATTCCATGTCTTCAGGTGGAAGGGGAGAGTACAGGAGTCTCTGAGGCCCATGTGGTCAACATGTATCAGTGAAGTAGTGACTCGGTTCACTAGGAAGGCCAGTGCAGGAAAATAAAAACAAGACCACAATAAAACAGGAGCCAATTCTACACTGGATAGCTGTTTCCCCCTCAGAACGCTGTGTTATAAACACACCCTAGATGAAAACAAAATATCCTCAACTGTATGGGAATACGAAGAAATATATCCCACACAGAACTCAAAACATCAAGGAAATTGATGTACTCATTCTGGCATTACCGGGGTAAAAATTCTGTAAGACGCAAAAATGAAGGTGACCCCTCTGTTAGTGAAGAAATACATCCTTGACGTCTGCATGCAACCACAGTTCAACCCAACAGCTGGCTTGACAAGCAAATCTGTGACGAACTGCCTGCCAGCGTCTAAAATAGATTCACTTCTTAAGGAACCACACGGATCACAAGGAGCTTCTGTGTCTAGACTGCACAGATTCCATAAGTTCCAGACAATAAAATGCAGCCTGATCCTGCGCAAAGCAAACGGGTTTTTATTTAAAAGTGGGTTTGCACGTCTGCTTGGCACAGGGTTGTAGTCTGGCCCTGTGGGCAGATCCGAAAAGAACATTATCAGAAAAAAACAACAACAAACGTCCTGTACCTGCAGTGGTTCCTAACCCCTTCGGCCCCAGAGCCTCTCTACAGTAACGTGACATCTTCCCTCGTGACTTTGTCCCTACCTACGCTGAGGCCTGTCATTATCGGCTCCTGCTCATTCCCAACTTTCCACGATTCTGCAGGAGAAGCGTTAATCGGCTGTTAGCAGCGCTATCCCACCCATGTCCTAAAAAGCCTGCTGTGAGTCACATTCCTCTACCTCATGACTGAGAGCGGATGTGATGACTGAAACGAGTGACATTAATTCCACGCTGCGCGGTGGAGGAGCGGGCCAGCCTGGTCTCTCAACACGACCCTCACCTGCGGGACCTCCACATTGGCACACGTCTGGATCCCTGCATTTCTGATGGATAGCTTTCTCAAGAGCGGCCAAAAAACGAGCTTCCCCTTCGGAGAAGAGCACTTTGGGCTCGGAAATGCGCTTTAAAGGTTGAAAACCTATTCGCTTTTTATCAGTTCCTGCTTTCAGGCAGTGAATGCGGTAGCTTACATTCCTGCAGGACAGAAACCACAGCCTGCTGCAGACCCCCCGCAGGAGAACGTGCACCGTTCGTCCTCGGGTCACCCAGGGGCGCTTTGCCTCGGGGGGGGGGGGCAGGGGGGCTCAGGACGGCCCACAGATCGGCCACTCGTCCTCTGCCCGGAGACCCGACTCGCCACGCTGCCTATATCAGCCTATATAGAGCCGGACGGGCTCCAGGAAAGAGCAACAGAGGCCGTCTTCCTCCTCTCTCCATAACGGAAGAGCCGGGGAACACGCGTGGGCTGGTATCAGTGCCACGGAAAAGACTGCGGCCAGGGGACACCAGAGCACGGGGAGCCGTATCCTCTCACCCCCCTTCGTCCCCTGCCCCCCACCCCTCTTCCTGCTGCGGGGGAGTTTAGCCAGATACAGAGCAAGAGAGAACAACAACATTTCCTACAACTCTCTGCTCTCCACAGCGCACAGCCATTTCCTCTTCCCTGAAACCACACCATCGTGACACAGCATGAATAACCTTCGGCGGACAGGAATGGAATTGGGCAAGAGACTTAAAGAGAGAGGCACAAAACAGCACCAGAACCAAGGCAAGGAGCGTCCAGCCATTTAGTTTCTAACCACTTCTGATCGCGGGTCGTGGACGAGCCAGAGACTATCCTGGCGTTTGACGGGCACAGGGCAGGGCACACAAAAGGCAGACACGCACACACTTTTCCCAGATAGCTAGTGAACCCACTAGTCTGTCTCTGGACCGTGGAAGGAAACGCAGGGGGAACACGCAAGCTCCTCGCAGACAGCACCCCAGCAGCTTAAAAGTTACAATTAAAGGGGGAAAAAAAAAATGAAAATCTTTACTTCACTGATGTTTAAGTGTTTACAAAAATGGACGCTACCACAGTATGCTGAAGGTCAAAGAGTTTCTCGATCGAGAAGCTAGTTTGCACGCATTTCTACCTGTCCTTTGCAAATACAAGATCTTAGGATGCGGTGAAGAAGGATTTCGAATCCCGCCGATAGATCCGGCTCAGGAACTCCGAGCTCAGGAAGTCAGCAGAATCAGAAGGCTTCGCTTCCGCCCCGGCCTGCAGAGTCTCAGAGAGGCCCACTCCAGGTGCGCCGCAGGGCACTGTCAGGCAGCCCCAGTCGTGCTGAGCGTGTCTGTGCGGGTCCTGCTCTCTCTCTCTCTCCGTCTCCAAACCTGCTGGGCGAGAATCACTGGGATCTCTCCTCCAGCGCATTTCTTCTTCTCCCGGGGTGATTTCACGTCCCCTTATGACCATTACAGCTTTTTTTTCGGAAAAAAAAAAACAGCCTCCGCTCAGCTGGCACCACTCCAAACCAGAGCACATTCAGAATATTTTTTCTTCCCAACCATCCGTGTCTTCCTCCCCACTCGGATCTCACTGCCCCGACTGTGACCTGCACCGCCCCCCATGTTGGGCCACGCCTCCCATACCCCCCCCAAAAACTCTGATCGCTGGTGACCTGTCCCTGTGCGCCCCCCCCCCCCACAGATCTTCACGAGTCAAATGCGAAAGAGGGGGGCGTGGCACTTGATCACACCTGGGCTCCAACACGGGACTCACTGGACATAAACAAGGACTGCATCCCCCGCCCTACCATTAGAATTGTCACTTCTGTCACTTCTGCACCACCTGTCCAATTCCAGTCCCCTGGAACAGCTCAAGGAAATGCACTACATACCGTTTTATTATTATCTCCCTGCAGAATACTGAGACCACGCTGCTCACAAACTCAATCACAGGCACGGAAACCGAACCTGATACAGGAAAGAGTGCTACTGCCACACAGGGGTCAGTCAACACCGGGAAGGAACTCAACTGTGATCCCCAGCCTCATGCTGTTGTAGACACCCTACTAACGCAAGCTTCTTTCTTCATGCTGAACCACACTGTTAATTAGCCAGCCCAATCAGAGAAATGAGTCTCAACACCCTTTAGCTACTGATGACTCACTTGGGCCACAGCCCCTGTCTTTATCGGTGAAACCATCCAGCTGGATCAACAAACCGACCAACAGAGCACCAGCTCTCCACAGACAGGCCTCCTCTTTCACAGAACAGCATCCTTCTTTTGGCAGCGGTGCGAAATCGAGCTGCACGCTACCAAAACGCACAATGTTTTTAATGCAAAACGAGGCCCAATAACTATTCATTTTGATTCCAGCGGTGTTGACTAGTAACTCTACAGCGCTCGCAGGGCTGGGGCGTCTGTTAACCCTTCACCTCGCACCGCAGCGCAAGAACACACTTGGATGCAGACAAGGCACAGGGACAAGCGTCCTGTCAGCTCCCCCTCTCCACCACAGTGCACTCTCTAGAAACAGGGCGGGGAAACAAAATGAGCGTCTAGGCGGCTTGAACCCCTGCGTCCAGCTCAGCTGTTGGAACAGCTCTTACCGTGCTCCACGAAGACATTGCAGTGCTGGCCTCCACGGCGCGACGGCTCCCTCCTCGCTCCCTTGATGAAGTGCAGAGCCGGCAGACTTGGTCTCCTCTGGTCCCCGAGCACTTTCCCCGGCTGCTGCCCCATAAAGGAACGATGCCAAGGCCACCGCCAGGAAGGAGGCACGATCCGCCGTCCGGATCCTCGGATCAGCAGCCGGGCTCGGCCGGGGTCCGCTTTCCTGTGGCCGAGGACGGGGGGAGAGACCGAGCGGAGCGGGCGGGGAGCGCCGGACGCTCACTCCTGCATCGCCCCCGGGCCCCGGCGGAACTTGGGCGGCGGGGAAATCGGACACGGGAGCGGGGCTGCCTTCTGTTCCTCGCCTTCGCCGTTCGCCTCCCCCTTACCGATCATTTACAGCACCGTAGCGTGTGTGCGCGCTTTCCCGTTTCCCTCAGGGGGAAAAATTTCCGCCAGGGCAGCGTCTGCAGCAGCTACGAGGAACCATTCGGGGCATCCAGTTTGGCAAGTTCAATACCTTTCAGGGTATGGATCGGGGTCATTCTCATTGCATAATCTCATTTGGTGTGCTAGCTTCAGCTTGGCCAAGGATTGGAATCCAGGTTCCCCCTCTCTTTTTTTTTAGTGCTTAAACTTCAGCAGGTAGATCCTAGGAAAGTCCTCGGGTCAGCCAATGATGAAGCCGCTTTAAAAAAACCGAAAGCCCCCTTTTAAAAAGTCTAGCCTACTAATCATCTCCAGAATAGCGTATTTATATAAAGGCCTTTCAGTGTGCCGTTAAAGAGGTCAGAGTCGCCTGCCTGGGTGTGCTTTTATGACTAACACACGGCCGAGAACATAAATCTCTCAGTGTGGATAAAATAAAAATGATCTGACTAAAAATGAAGTTCCGTGGGCTCTGATATTACACACGATATGAACCCCGGGCGGCTGACACGCGATCACAGTCCTGTCCGCCTTTCTGTGAACTATGTCAACAACAACAACAACAAAAAAAAGACTTCTCGATATCAGACCTGATTAGGGGTCCATAATGTAACAGTAAAACAGCAATCCCTGCAGCAGGACGTGTGATCACCTACTGGTATTTAAAGTCCTCTTAGGAGGGCATCTGTGAAAGTAAGGCACTGTATTCATTGTTTACGCACAATACATTCACTGCGATCTTTGCAGACGCTTTCAAAGCAACACATTGCACACCTGTGTGTCATTCAAGACCCCTGTTTTTTTTTGTGTACGATTTCATCAAGATAACCCCCATCGACGTAAGGGTTGTTTTGGTTTTCTCACATTAAAGGGAGGGATGCGGAGTTTGGTTTTCTGACACGGCTACCCCCGGAGAGCGCTACGCGGTACATAGTGGTCGTGGAAGCGGCCGATCTGCTCGGAGCGCAGCCCGCAGACACCGGCTCGCCGAAAGACGTCTTCTGCCCGCAAGATATACTGTAAGACACCAGTGCACCGCTACCTACGACAAACCACAAGCCGTACGCGGCCAGACAGCCGCCGAGCTCCGACCTCACAGCTTCTCGAAACGGTTCTGTTCCTATTTTGTTCCCCCCTCCCCGTCTCTTTCACGCGTCTGTATTTTCAGGTGTGTGTGTGTGTGGACAACCCGATATGATGCTAGCTTATTCCTGGTCTGGGTGGAGGAACTCGGCTAAAAAAACAAAAAACGAAGTTTAAAAACGCTGCAAAGTTGAAAAGCGGTGGCAGGACCTCGGTGCACAACAAAGTAGGGAACTCGGACCGGGGCGCGTCGAAGCGACCCCGCTGCAGTCGCGGCGCAGCGCGTTAAAAGGGGGTGGGGGGTGCCTCAATCAGCACGGATCGGATTTTCCCTGTTCATCATTATTTTTGATGTAAAACGCCCGAGCTTGCGTCTCGGGGTGCTGCCCGGGCGTCAGTCTCCGTGCCCCCCGGCCGGTCTGTCACCGTGCGCCTCTGCTACAGCGCCACGACCCCCTCCGGCTGCAGATCTGGGGGGGACCCCGGACACCTCCGCCCCCACCCCCTCCGGCTCTCCCCGACCTCCCCGTCCAGTATCGTCCGTCCTCCCGGGCTCTCCCGTGCCCGAGTACCCGGGGCTCCCTAAGACTCGGGCAAGCGGCGATCCGCTCCGTCTGTCCGCCGTGTTAGCGACGTCTTCCTCGGCGATGACGAGGGACACCCGGGGCGCCTGTCCGATCAGGGCGAGCAAGCACGTCCTATCTTCCGTACTCCGGCTGTTTGCATGGATTTCTGACTCTCCCGGAGGTGGAATTGCTACTCAAACCTCGGTCACATACGCTCAATCGCCGCCATGTTTCTCTACGCAAGGAGATCAACTACACAGGAGGTGGTGTTGGTGTTGGTTGCGGGGGGGGGGTTACGTCTACGTCCATGCGTCCCGACGTAACGTAAGAATTCCCGAGGGAAGCGCGCAAGAGGATGTGAGGACGAGAACGAGCACGTTGGTAGGGGAGCGCAGGAAAGGAAAAAGGAAGCGCGCCCCCGATTCTTTAATAGGGGGGCGCGCTTCAGCGAGAAGGGCGCTTAAGGTCCAGAGAGATGTGGTTTTAATGGCAGAAAGACAGAAACCGGCCGTTCGCACGTTGTACGGGGAACCAAAACGATTCTGCAAGAGAACATATCCAAATCAAACCAGCAGGAAAATGAAACTGTCCCGCAAACTACGTGTGTGCTCGCTGCAGCCCACCCGCTCTCGTCTGGCTCCGGGTGTTTGTCATTAAGTTTATGTCCACTCAATTACATGCATAGATTTCAAGATGGGAAATCCACGGAACTTCAATCGGATGCATTTCATTGCATATGCTTCTATTGTTTCTTAAACAAATTCGTAAAGTTATGCTGAAGGATCATGTTTTTCAACAATCCTTTTGTTGAAGTATCGCTTTCTGTTCCTTTCTTTCGCACAGTTGGCTCCAAGATTCAAATTTCGCTTACTTTTGCAATAAACAAGACTGATGTGAGTCCTTTGATCTGAAACCTCTTCCAGGGAAAAGGGCAAACGCCAGTCTTTGAGTGCTGCGGGCAGCCGGTTTTACAGGCTGTTTGCAATTAGCCCCAGAGTTGGAAAACAAAGCTGATTTAATCATCCACTCGGTTCAATAAAGTCCCTGTCTTCTGCAATAGAAAACAAAACAGACACCAATGCAGCACTTGGTGACCAGAGTTACCTGTCCTATCCCCCTTCTTCTGAATAAACCCAGCTCTTTGATCACCCCACTCAATCCAGGAGCAACAAGCGCACTCGTGATCAGCACATGGACAAATGAGTTATTTTACTACCTGCATAGAGTTACATCCCGGTCTTCTTATAAAGAAGGTGCATACCTGGGGCTGTATTGTCCTACATTGATGTTTTCCTTCTTGGCGAACAAAAACTATTTCTGCGAGGTTCAGGAAGTGTAAATACGTTGTATTGTGAAGTTATTTCCTCTCGTTTCGCCAAACGAGAAGTTTTTTTCCGATACATATTCGTAAGGCAAATGAGAATCGGCAAAAACATATAATATAGTTGCAGTTCCCAGTATTGAGAAATGAGTGTGCAAAAAGAATAGGACATATTAGCTTAACTGCAAAGATCAGATCAGGGAAGATCAGGAGTAAGGCTGCAACCCCCGTTGGATTTCAGTGAAAAAGTCACTAATTGATTTTACTCTGATAAAAGAAAGTTCTTCCATTAACAGCCAAAAAAATTAATGTTTTAAAAGGAAAGTCTCCATCTTGTTTTAACGATGAGGGATGTGTATGATATCTTCATCTTTAGTTTACTTTTTGACAACTTAAACCAAAATGATCCAAGTGCTCCCCCTAGCAGCTGTTGCCACTCTTGCCAGTTCTAAAACCGTGTTCGTAGTGCTCTTTCCAGGGCTCCATCAGCAGTGGAGGAATACTTGGAAAGGCTTTGCAGTTGTTCCTGTGCTCCTCAGATGAAGGACATGCATGTTTCAGGCGCACATTTTTTCGACTAGGGAGGCTTGGTGGCACAGTGGTTAGCACTTCAGAGCTGGGGTCCCGGGTTCAATTCTGGACCTGGGGTGCTCTCAGCCTGTGGCTTGTATGTTTTCCCCCCCATCTTCATGCGGGTTTCCACTGGCTCCAAAGACATACGGCTGACTGGCTTCTGGGAAAATGGGCCCTGCTGTCCATGTGTGCCCTGCACACTGGCACAGGTGTATCTTGCTTTGTGCCCGTTGCGTGGCGGGACAGACTCTGGCTTCCCTGCGTCCCTGTATTACCCCGAGGGGACACCAGTTCACTGCAGGGCAATACACTCGCAGCAGGGCCAATTGTCCCAGAAGCCAACTAACATACCAGCGTGTCTTTGGATTGTGGGAAGAAACCCAGGTGAGCATGGGGAGAACATACAGACTCCACACAGACAGCAGCCCAGGGATCTAACCCAGCGGAGCCCTGCGCCATCCACAGGACCCGGCTGATGTGCCATTTGCACATTTTATAAAAACGAACAAACTGCCTGTCTTTTAGCTTCCTAACTGCTTATAACCCTGGTAAGTGGAAGCATACCAGGGGGCATCTATAGGTCAGTGGAAACGTTAGAGTAAAAAGGGAAGTAGAATGTCTTGTTTCGCAAATGTAAGCAATAACGAAAGTCTCAATAAGGAGTTGTTTTCCCGTTATCCAAGCTTGACTAAAAACGAATGGTTCGTTTTAGGGATTAGGTCATCTATGTTAAAGGTAGGACGTGTGTCTGTCACTGTGTATAAAAAGCGCTGAGCAACATCTTTCGGAGAGACTAGCTTTCACAAACTGATCTCCCGTCTGCATATGAATGAACAGCTCTTCTTTCACCTGCATCCGAATCCTGTTATTTTAATGCTTCTTCATGACTGACCAAGCAATCAGGACCCTGGGTGACGGGGGTCACCCCAGAGAACGGCCAGGAATCAACAGAAACCTGGAAGAAGGTTCATTTGGATAGTTTACAAAGACGGCAAGGGAAAGGGGCAGTACCGACCCAAACATGAACTCGATCGCCGTGAGCTAAGCGTAAACCTAAAACGCAATTGTGTTATACGAAACCCTAAACGTGTACAACAATTAAAATACTCATGCAGAAGTCTCTACTCCAATGTTCAGGGGCGGTAATGTCATTTATTAACAGAATAATGGGCATAAACAGAACTTACATGTGACCCTGAGCTACTCCACACAACAGTGGAAGAGCCTCTTAAGAACACACTGGCTGTAGGTGGTTCCAACGCCTCTCCCTGCCAACTGTGTTCAACTGTTAAATCGTCAAAAATGATCGATTACACAAAAATTCATTGGTCAACTTTTTAAAAAAAAAACAACAAATGCTGGTCCCTTTGTGACGTCATGTCAGCTGTTCACAGCCCGAAGGGGAGACAAAACCTCTTTTCTCCGAACCCCAGGTGACCGGAATGGAGACGGGCCGAGGAAAAGGAATCGGCAGGGCCACACGTCGGCTGTCCGGGCGCCTACCCCTCCTGCTCCAACAGCCTCTGTCGTGTCTCCAGCACGATCTCCTCCATCACTTCCGGCTTCAGGACGTCTTTGATCTGCAGAGGCAGTCGGACGAACACCGACAATGAGTCTCGCACATACCGGTACTAAAAAAACACTTCACTGCTGCTCCACCTCTCTTCCACAGGAGCAGTTTGAACTGCACTCGAGTCCTCCGCTAATAAGGGCTTTGGGGATTTTGAATATTTAAATCAGTTCCCCACACAGCCCTCTCCGTTCAGCTCTATGTGCTCTTCAAAACTAAAAAGATTCAGTTCCTTCAGCCTGACCGTCTGTTCCACTTCAAAGAAATGTCCTCCGTTAGTCTACAAGCTGCTGTACAGCTCGACAAATCGAGCAGGTTACACCAAGTACAGCTGTAGCCCCAGGGACTTTCTGGGACGGCGCACCTCTACAACGCTGTACCTGGTGTGAGAGGGAGGCTTCGTAGCAGTAGAGCACGCTGGTGTCGAACAGCAGGACCTTGTGCGTGGCCAGGGCAAGCAGACAGTTCCGTAACCTGGAGATCACTTCCCTGTCCGAGAGAGAGACGGGCTGGAGGAGGAGGAGGAGGAAAGGGACACAGGAATGGAGAAACAGGATTATGCATCGTTACAGCAGCTCAACGGAGCTAAGCGAAAGAGCGAGACCGCGCAATAAATCTTACCGTGTAGGCTACTGTCTAGGATAAAAAAAGGCCATCCGAGATGTTCAAAATCCAGATCCGTGTGCTACCAATCCTAGTGATCCACCCCCTCTCCCACTTTTTGCGGCTGTGTTTGAGTTCTTCGGTGAGCCCTGCCACCCCATCTTACCTCCAGGCTGGTGTAGAAGCCCCCCGCCTCCTCGTCCTGCTGCCCGGGAGTGGGATACAGCCACACGTAGCCGTTGTTGCCCAGGATGATGGAGGCGCCGCAGGGCAGGTTGTGGAAGTGGGTCTTCTGCCTCTTCACCAAAGATGGGGACACCTGCACCAGCACCCCCTGACCCAGCTGTGAGGAGGAGTGAGGGAAGTGGAAGTTCTGGCTAGTTACGAGCCTATTGAAAGGTCACGCATTTGAGGTTAAGAAAGGTCAATCACCTTCACACACGGAGGCGCAAAAAAAAAAAAAAAAAAAAGAGCCGGGTGTTCTGGTCTTTATCATTAACAACGGTTTTGTCTTTGCTATCAAAAGCGGCGTGAGGTCTGAATCAATAAAAGGTTTACCTGCAATGACACAGGTGACTAGTCGGAAGTATTGAGAGCATTAATCTAGGTCCGTGCATCCATTCTTATCCATTTTAATCAATTTTATCCAGTACAGCCGGTGTGATTTAAAAACAAATGCATTACTTAATCTTTTACATTCACTTTTTACAGTCTCTTTAAGCTGGACTAAATACAAGAACTAATTCGAGACGGTTCCCACTGTAAGAGAGAAACTATATATGTAGAGTGTTCAATAAAGTACAAAGTGCTTGACTGCTCAGAAGACACTCACCTTGCCGTACTTCAGACTGCGTGTGTGGAGGGAAAGAGCCCCATCAGAAAAGACTGACTGCACTTCTGCCTGCGCAGCACTGAGTCAAGGAGCTGATCGGTCACGTTGCTCTGCGGACACAGTGTAACCGCGTACCTGGGAGTACTGATCCTCTCCACTCACAACCAGATGGCAAAGCCGGGCTCGATCACTTCATCCCACCTGCAGCGCTACTTATATTTCCCGAAGAAGAAAGGATACACTGATCAGGTCTCCTTCTTGCAGGTAGTCTCTCATGGTCAGCTCATCTTCTGCCGATCTCCTTCTCTGAAAAACACCCAACAGTTAGGCCTCATTCCCTTCACACATGGAGGCACTTGCTAATTTGCTAATTTCATATTCTACAGTGCCCCTGAATAGCTCAGCTGCAGAAGAGTGCAGACTGTGTACATTTGTGGCAGATTTCCAGAGTATATGAACAGAGGTCTGCGACAATCATTCCCAGTCAGCTCAGCACAATGTGATGCAAGCACTACAGGGGTAGGGCAGGTTGTACGTCGCCCTGGGTTTAGCAGTAACCCATACAAGCCCGTTACCTCTGCTTGCTGTGTGATCACACCGAGCTGCACTGGTTTCCACTTAAATCTGCTGCTCGGTCTGTGGGTCTGCAGATTAAAACTGCAGGCCATGTACATCCACACCTCTCTTGGGTCTCTTGGTGTCCCATCTTTTTGGATTCAACACCGATCTCTGTTGTCTGCCCGTAGCATAGTAAAACTCCCAGGGAAATTGTATTTTTTCCCACAAAACAATCTCCTGGCAAGTCCTGCACAGCGACAGAGACATGCCAAGACCCCGGCGCTCTTCCTGCTGGGGGCAGCCGCCTGGCCTTACCAGCTCTCCCCCGGGGAGGTTCACTGAAGACAGCAGCAGCACGGAGTCCAGCCGGGAATTCGTCTCCACCTTCCACCGCTTCTGCTGAACCTGCAGAGACAGGCAGGCGGACGTTACTCCCCGTGGGGCTGATCTCCGCCCAGAACACCCCAGCCCCTAGGTCACCCCAGGAACCTCCGAGACTTCTGGGACTAACTAGCCGAACCGCTTTAAGAACAAAATCAACTCTAAATGCCAATACAAGGCACACTACTGCAAAAGGCCTCTGAATAGGTCTTCCTGCACTGCTCCGAAGAGAGTGAGTGGAAAGTCACTGCGCTCCCGTTACGGCCAGCTGCTGAAATTAAGTTGCGAGAATGCCTAAAGTCCATACAGAACTGCTGCTGCGACAAGGAATCCGCACACGAGGCTACAGTCTTGCATGGGAACGCACAGAAAGCACGGCAGTGATTCAGATGGGCCTGTTTTTTAGAATGAGTCCCACTGCATGCCGCCTGCTTCCGATGGGAGAAATCTGCGAGTGATGACTGTCTAAGGCGCTTCATAATATTGAGTATTCAGCTTGGAGGCTGCAGTGTGGTGGTATGGGAGTCCATCGTTAGGTCTGTGCACATGGGTTTCTGTAAAAGCCAGGGGCACCATGACAGCACTAGACTCCCAGTATTGACGGAATGCATGATGATGCATCACATAATGGCGATTTAAAAAGAGGAGTGATGAAAATACATTACAGCTTTCTTGCAGCCCTGAACTAAAACCTACCAAATGGCCTTTAGACATGAGACCCAGAAGAGCAAATAAGAAAGAGACTATGGACAGCAGAAGCTGCAAAAGAAAGGCGCAGTATTCATTTGAATGGCTCCCCGGCGTGCTATGGAAGGTGTGCCTTCTACAACTGCAGTGGTGATCAAAGCAAATGGCGGGCATCGCCCTGTTCGGCACACTACCATTCTGTCCTTTATCCCGTCGGGCTTTTTTTTGCAATAAAGCGTCCGTTCGACACGAGATTAACTTACTCACCGACGGCTTGTTGACCAACGATTCGGCGGAAGATCTGCGAGTGAAACAGACCCGTGCACACTTGTGCGCTCCTGTGCACCAGCACCGCTCACCACAGCACACCCCACCTTCTCTCGCCGCCACGTACCTCAGTGACCCGGCCGACGACCACGTCCCCGACTTCGCCGTTGAACCTGGGCACAAAGACGAGACGCACACAGGGAAGGGTTTCTGCCTAGAGCCTAGAAGAGCCGGTCGAACGCACCAGGTGGGTTCCAGGCCGCCTTTTATCTGGACCCTGCCCCCACCACAGATTGGAAAAACACTCGTTTCATCACGCAGCCCCCAGCCGGGGAGGGAGGTGAAGCTCACGGTCACCAAGGAGATGTCCGCGGCCACGTCTTGAGTCGTCTGCGGACATGAACTCGCCGACACGCGCCAGAGCTAAGGCACGAAGACGGCAGCACGCCCTCCTAAGAAACCGCGGGCGTGGCGCTCCGGCGGGGCTCACCTCGTCTTGAGGGGTCTCACACAGACCAGCTTGTTGACCCTCTCCACCTCTCCAGCCACCGAGGCGGTCAGCTTCTCTTCGTCCATGTAGGTGCCATGTCCCCTGCAGGGAGACAGAGCGCAGACTCAGAGATCAATCCTTTTTTCCCATCTGTTTCATCCAGTTCAGGGCTGCGGAAGTGCAGAGGCAGGGTACACCCAGGACAGGACACCAGATCTTCACAGGGCACACAGACACAGACATATACCCACTCACACCAGGGACAGTCGTACTAGACACCAACTCACCTACCAGCATGTCTTTGAACTGTGGGAGGAGACTGGAGCACCAAGAGAGAGAACATGTAAAATATTTTACCAATACTACGGTTGCTTTCAAACGCCTACACCGAGGAACGTCCTGTGATCCGTGCTGTTGGGGAACGACGCTGCGTCAGGACCGCACGACAGCTCTTCCCACATTTCAGGATGAAGTTAAGGGAGGTAAAGGATCCCGAGCACAACTAGTCAATGTGAAACAGCACATAAAACCCCAATCTCTAATCTCACTGAGCTACCGTAGTCCACACTAAACGGCACACTCGAAAGGTTCCATCGTTGTTTTATCAGCGACATCTGCCGGACGAGTGTACAACAACAAGCGAGAAATCCTCCACATTAAACCAGATAGCGTTTTCTCCGCTCGTTAATCCAATCTTTACATGAGGTTTAAGGGTTTCATCTCTTTTTTATCTCCTCCACCCTAGGTGACCGTTTTTCAAAACCAAAAAACAGTCAATCTGCCAGCGCTACTTAAAATGCTCTTAAACCCACTGACAACATTAAAGAAAGGTAATGTCAACCCTAACTGCTCAGCTTTCATTCAGCTGAAAGGTATGGTCAAGGCAGAAACTAACTCAAACATATCTGCATACATTTCGTCGAAAATTAACACAACAAACTTTATTCCTGTTATTTTGCAGAGAATACACGTGTACGTAGACATCAACTTCACAAAGGCCTCTGCGAACAGTCTGGAAAATATTACAAAACCTTCAAATACCTCATGAAACCAGTGTCTGTAGTAATGACATCTCCTGGAGCTACAAGATGTTTTTCTTCGATTGCAGATAAAGAATCTGTCACCCGTTTACGTCCACTAGGTAGTCTGATATCAACAGCCATCTTCAATTCCTCTGTGTGCACACGGTCGCGGCTCTGTTTGATCACGTCACGGCGCTTATTGTTGACGTCATCGCTCTCCGGGCACCGAAATGCAGTGCAGCACTACATCACAATACACTTTTAATGAATTAATCACCTGGACGTATTATGCAAGTTTTTTACGTACTCGAGTGAATAAAGAAATCTACAAATACACGTCGATGTTAGAATAAAACAGCGAAATTGAGTAAATCACTTCTGAATTATAAACTTGAAAACTGAATCTTCTTGTTCACTGATTCAAGATATTTATTTAATAACGTGAGTTATATCTATATAGATCACTGTATAGAAAACAACAAGTCAAGGAAAAATAATAACAACAAAAAATAATTATCGCCTGCAACTCACAACAGGCAGCCCCACTGAAGCTCAGCAGGTGTGAGCCTGGTCAGTACCTGGATGGGAGACCTCCTGGGGAAAAACTAGGATTGCTGCTGGAAGAGGTGTTAGTGGGGCCAGCAGGGGGCGCTCACCCCGCTGTCCATGTGGGTCCTAATGCCCCAGTATAGTGACGGGGACACTATACTGTAGAAAGGCGCGGTCCTTCGGATGAAACGAAAAACCGAGGTCCTGACTCTCTGTGGTCATTAGAAATCCCAGGGCGTTTCTCGAAAAGAATAGGGGTGTAACCCCGGCGTCCTGGCCCCAAATTTCCCCCTGGCCTTTACCAGTCACGGTCTCCTAATAATCCCCATCTCTGAACTGGCTCCATCACTCTGCTCTCCTCCCCACTGAGAGCTGGTGTGTGGGGAGCGTACTGGTGCATCATCCAGGTGGGGCTGCACACTGGTGGGGGTGGAGGGGATCCCCATTACCTGTAAAGTGCTTTTGAGTGGAGTGTCCAGAACAGCGCTATATAAATATAACTAATTATTATTATAACAGATCCCAGCAATTCCATTAATACAAAAAGTATCGCGAATTTACTGCCTCCTCTAGTGGACACTTAGGGAAACGCAAGTGAGTTTGGAAGGACATTTTTTTTGGAATAATAATTGTATCTGTTTCATTTACCAGGAATGATATTCTTTGTTTTATATGGGACGTTACATTTTGCTTACTGTGTGAAACTCACATGATACCAAATACTAAGGTGTCGGCCTACATGTCTGAGCAATTCTGATTATTATTATAAGTATATAAGTGTAAGCAATTATTATTAGTAGTAGAAGTATTATTATTATTATTATTATTATTATTATTATTATTATTATTATTATTATGTAAAGTCTTAAATAGGCAGCGGCGTCAGCATGCGTAGGCTGCAAAGGAACAAGTAAAGGTTTATTCAATGCTGAAAAGATAGACAAAGTTTTGGCTGTGGTGCCTTCCTCAAGTGTGGTGGACAGAGGAAAGCCCGCAGGAGATGAAGCTGGGAGTGGACAGGAGGCAAGAGCAGGAGAGAAGCAGTATCACTGCCCAAGCAGGGCAAAGTCGAGAGAGGTGTGAAGTCAAAGCCTGGAAGGAAACGAGTCTGTCGGTGAGAGAAGGAGAAGGTGTGATCCTAATTTCAGGGTAATCTGGGTTTCCTATGTCTTTCTGTAATAGTTTGAAAGAGTTGTGAGACCGTTTTTAAGTTTTAATCGACACTTCAATGAATTCCTTGAGACTTGTGTGTTTATGTTGACCTTGACAAGAAAAGAATAACATTTTCACAGGTCTCTACGCAATATGAGAAGACAATATAAAAGCAAAGGGCGATATACCACATATCAAATATAGTGGTACAATGCACTGCTAAGACCACGTTTAGATTACTGGTGTTCGATTTCGATCACAACACTGAGAGAAAAGGTTTTTACTGTTTGGCAATCAATCCAGAGAAAAATATCCAAATACCAGGATCAAGATTAGGAGGGCATGGTGGGTCAGTATTAGCATTGCAGCCTTGCAGCAGTGAAGACTTGGGTTGAGTTCCTGGGGAGATGTCTGTGGGGAGCTTGTATGTTCTCCCCGTGTGTGCATGGGTTTTCTCCGTGTGTGTGTGTGTGCCCTGTCATGGACCAAGCTTAAAATGACTACACTGACAGGCTGAAGGATCTGGACCCTTTTAGTCTTGAAAAGTGAAGACTACACCTGACATGTTCAGATTGAAACATAAACATAAGAAATATAAGACAGAGGGCACAAGTGGAATCAACAGGAAAGTGCAATTGGGACTGAGAACAGGAGGCATCTCTATACACAAACAGTTGCAGAAGCATGGAACAAGCTACCCAGGTATATCAAACTCCCTGGGTTCTTTTCAGAAACAACCGAAGGAGATCCTCCAATAATTAGCTACTGGAAACCAAACGAACCAGATGAGCCAAATCTCTCGGCTTCTTTTGTCATCTTTCATATCTTCTTACTTTCCTGGCTCAAAATCTTCTCTTAGCGCTTCAATAAGCCAACACTGAAAATGTTTAGAGGAGTTCTGCAATGAGTGCATATTGGTGGTTTTGAAGAGTTACAGTAATAATACTTACCTGAATGTTAAAAAAAAAAGATTGAAATAATCATGGGTGTTTCATGAACACAAAATTATGCATGTAGTAGTTTATTTAGAATGCAAGATGAAAAGTACAAAGTTATTTACATCTGCATACATATACTATTAATATATAATACCAAAGTGTTGTAAATACTGTTTTACATAAATATGTACATACATAAAGTGACTATTTAGTGGAAGTATAGCACAGTTTTAAAATTATATTTACATTTCATATATATTTTAATCATTTTATATACATCTTCTGTTTCTTACGATTCTTTTTCTCCCGTACAGGAAGGGTTTCATACAGGTGTGGAGACACTAGGGGCGCACCAAGCCACACAAAAGCAAAGGAGCATCGCAGCTGAGAGCCATCGGAGAACGATAACATCCATCAGAACAGTTTGAATACAAACTTAAACCACATCAGCTCGCCGAACACTGTGTGTCATTTCTCATCTTTTCAGTAACCATTATGGTATAGAAGAAGTTCTTATAATGTGTGTGTTGTTTTAAAACAGTAACATATTCTGAACAAGATCTAGAGAACCGGATGCATTAAACAAAACAGCATTGTTTTCTCACACAATGTAGCACATTTTGTATACAAGAAGTATACCACCAATTTTCCCATTTATACCCAAGGTATTCTAAGAAACAGTATGTCTTTGACATACCTACTGCAATCCATAATTTGACTGACAGTTGTTTTTATAAAAAGTTCTCTTGTTAAGACATATAGACAGGTTCCATTGTGTTTCCAAAAGAGAGGAGAGCAATTTAGCTAACATCTAATCCTTCATACATACTGTATTTAGCACAGCTGTCACTTTCTAAAGCATGGGAGAAAAAAATTCAGGCACAGCGCACCCCCCTGCCATTAATTGTACCGGTGCTTAAATCGACTACTGTTTTTCAAAAGTCCGCTTTAAGCTGATGCGCAAAGCTTGCGGCAGCGCGAAACCGAACTCCTCGCGTCTAGTCAACGATTACAGGTGGCGGCGAGAGGTCTCATCGCTGAAATAACGTGCCGGTCCGTGAGTCTCTCGGAGCTGGCTCTTGTCCGCGTTCACATCCGCCGCGTAGCACTGCCCGGCCTTCGGGTGAGCTTGCGTTTACTTTCCCTTTCTGCCAATGCGCACAAGGTTAAAACGTGGTCATGTGCGACCGAGACGCGGGGCCAGGGCGACGCGGAGGCCGGGAGAAAGCGAAGCCTCCGCGTGTCGCCGGGGTTCGCGACCTGTTTCTCTGGGTCCCCAGGCTCCCCGCCATCACAGGACCATGGTGGGGATGTGGTGCGCCAGGGACACCGGGTGAGGCACGGGGGGCATCTGCGGCGGCGGGGGCGAGTGGGCCTGCAGCGAGACCACGGCCCCGGTGCCGGAGGGCCGGTGCCGGGCGCTCTTCTGGTGCGCCCGGAGCCCGGCCAGCTGCGAGTAGGCGCTCTGGCACACGTGGCACTTGTAGGGGCGCTCGCCCGTGTGGAGCCGGACGTGGTTGCGCAGCGTGGAGGACTGGCTGAAGCGCCGGTTGCAGAAGCGGCAGACGAAGGGCTTGTCCAGCGTGTGGATCCGCATGTGCGACCGCAGGTTGCTGCGGGAGTTGAAGCCGCGGTGGCAGATGACGCAGCGCATGCGGCTGGAGGCGGCGGAGGACGAGGAGGAGGAGGAGGCGGAGGAGGAGGAGGAAGAGGAGGCGGACGAGGAGGAGCCGTCACACAGGTGGAAATCGTCTGCAAGGGGAGAAACGGGCGCCCAGCCGTTAATCGCACCGTCGTGTGAGAGGGCTCCTGCTAAATCCAGACTCCTCTGACGCAGCTTGCGATCGAGCACAGCGGCGGCGTCCTCTAGAGCTGTGTAGCGGTTAGGAGTGTCATCGTGGCGCAGATTGTATAACACCACAAAAGAAACTAAACTGGCCATACCATGCACCCATGTGACTTAAAAGTCCGCCGCTGGGACTTAATTTCGGAATAACGTAGCATTAACGCTTCAAAAAGCGGGGTTCAAGTAGGCAACACCGCCTCACAGACATCTTTGAATACACGACTGGGGGAATGCTACGGGAATGCCCTTTGCTCAAAACAAGAAGAAAAGCACCTCGCGATTAAAAGGCTTAATCACAGTATCTCAGAAATCTATGGCCCCAAAGACAAAGGGATTTGACTAGATAGCATCTTTCCTTTCAGCAGCGAGACCCACAAGCGAGGCAGGAGCAGTTTAAAGGTAATAGGCGCGAGTGCTAATCAACTCTTTGTCACACGGAGGGCCCTGATAGCGATCAGCCCTGCTCGGCTTAAGCTCCTCTTAAGCTCTCAGCGCAGTACCTACCGGTCTTCTGCTTTTTCTGGTGCTCGTCCTCTATCCCCGGGACCCCAGGGATCCCCAGGAAGGTGTTGTGGGAATTTCCGTACCACACCAGCAGCTCCTGGTCTGGGGGGATTGTCTGCCCAGGAAAAGAAAATAATACTGAAATCATGGCAGAAAAAAAGGTGCCATACACGCTTTGTGGACCTCACCCACACAGATGTTGTGCTTTTCTGTGTGCGGTATGATAAGTCATATCATTATCGCTGGTATCTATACAGATTGTTCATGGAAGTGGAACTTTTAATTGCCTCTAGAATTCCCACGCCCAGCGCCTGGTGAAATGTGCGCTGTGCCGGGTGAAATGGCCTTGGCTCTCCTGGCCTTGATGCTCCGCAATGCTGCCGGCGGCCTGCTCGCGCAGAGCTGGCCTTGTGTGGGAATCCGGGTTCGACCGGCCAGGGGGAGTTTCTCCACGCCGGCACACAGGCACGCACGCGCCCGCACCGAGGAGCCCGTTCACCTAGCGGTAGGCCTCTCAACGGTGGGAGGAGAGCCAAGAGGACGCTGGGAGAACATGCAAACTCCACACAGACGGCAGCCCAGGTCCGGAACTCAACCCAGGGCCCCAGCACTGCGAGGCAGTGATACCAACCCCTGTGCCGTCGTGCTTACCATACTGACCACTTGAAGAGCGCTACCTCATACTAGAGGGTATACATCCTGGGTTTCTCTACTCTGTAGTGCTTGGGAGAAAATGTAATAATGTAATGTAATGTTTCTTTATTAGCCCTATACAATTTCTTGCATTAGGAATGCGTCTTTTCGCATACGCCAGCTTTTTTTTTTCTCCAGGGAGACACAGACACAGAGACAGGGAGAGAAGCTGGGGGTCAGAGCGCAGGGTCTGCCATTGTACGGCGCCCCTGGAGCAGCTGGGGTGAAGGGCCTTGCTCAGGGGCCCAACGGAGTAGGATTCCTCTGCCGGCCGGAGGATTTGAACCGGCAACCTTCCGGTCACAGGCGCAGATCCTTAGCCACAGAGCCACCATGTACAGTAGCTGCTTCCTAGTTCCTTTCTGTTTTCTGCTCATTTGACTGGGGTCTCTGCTCACCTCCACAGCCTTGTAGAAGATGCTGTTCCCGATCTGCACCACCTCCAGGTTCTGCTCCTGCTCGTTGCGGGCACACTTGATGTAGGTCATCCAACTGCGGTGGTCCTCCTGGCTGGCGTCGATGAAGTAGCGCACCGTGCCGTCCTCATTGAACACCTGGGGACACAAGCACCTCAGAGTCAGGGTTCCACCCCGGGCGCAGGGCACGAACACCACTCTGTGGGTGAGTCTCCTACACAGAAGCATTGGGTTACTGGACTTATCTCTAGCGCCGGGAGTCAACACCACCGTATTGGCAACGGTGAAAAAATAAGGCTTTTCATTGCGCCGTAGGGTTTTTAAAAGCCTCATGAGGTCGCCTTGTACAAATCCCAGCACTAGATTCGCGTAGGAAACAATGAGTGACGCAAGGAAGGTGACGTGTCAGCTCATTTGACTGTTTTGGTAGTTGGTAGCCAAGGGATCGCAGGATCTCATCCAGCGGTTTCTTTGAAAGTAGCCAGGGTTCCGGGTTCAACCACATGGCTGGGAAACAAGTTCCCTACACCCACCACCCTTTGTGTAAAGGCCTGCCTCCTGTTCTAGGCTTTAATGCACTTGCAGGTCGTTTCCACTTGTGCCCTCTGAATCGTTTTGGTTTCTTTTGTGTTTTTTTTTTTTACTGTTTCTCATCTTACTGATCTTCACTTGGTAAAACGTATTTTAGGGGGATTTTTGCCTTTGAGGCACTGATCAAAAGCTTAACAGGTGGAAAGGGCAAAGGCATTCGACATCTTCGTTGCCGGGCGGCTTACTGCAGTAACGCAGGGCTAAGTGGGGCAGCTCAGATCAGAACCGGGACCAGCAGCCTCCGATCCACAGGGGTCAGGCGCGGCTGAACGGACCGGTACGGGCCTTGCTACTGAAGCGACACGCAGAGTTCCGTGCCGTCTTGCTCAAAGACGAGCGTGGCGGTGTGGCCGCACAGTATGGCCCCGGCTGCCCTACCTCCCACATCAGGTTGTTGTTCTTGAAGAGGTCCACGTGCTCCGGAGAGATCACCCTGCCCGTGAAGGGGCCCATCTCGGTGCCAGCCTTGATCCACGTTTTGGAGAAGATGCCCAGCCCCTCTCCCGGGATGGAGCTCTGCGCGATGATGACCTCGCTGGGCAGCACCAGACTCGACAGCTTCTGGACCTCTGCGGGCGAGCGAGCAGACGGGAGACGCGGCTTTAAAAGGGCGTTAAGAGCGGCCGCAGCGAGTTGCGCCGGCAGTTTGTTAAGAGGCCTTTACATTAAACGCGAGTTTTCCACATTTTCACGGCTTAAACGAAATTAGCAATTTATCCGCACACATAGCACAGATATACTTGGGATTTCAACAACTTTTTGTTCTGTAGCCGCGCTACATAAAGGTCTTGCCTCATGATATTTGTAAAATACCAGAGAGAAATAAATCTCTTCTGTAATTTTTTTTATAAACCATATAAACCCTTTGTATTTCTAAAACACCGAAATGTCTGTTAAAAGATCCGCGTGCGTTTAAACTGTTGAAAGTGTAATGTTTGAATTAATTACGGAGAATCCGAACGATATAAATACTTTTCTTCTACAAAACATCAAATCTGCGCTATTTAATCATTCTTTATAACGGACAAAAAAAAGGTTCTCGTTTTGGAGAAGATGCTCGCAATTCAATCTTTTTTTTTTTTGTTGTTGTTGTTATTCGAGTTGAGAAAAAAAAACCCGCAATTTTTTCTTTAATGTCCGAATCAAAGGAATTTTATCGGAGAGGGGGAAAAGACGGCCCAGATAGAGGTTAAACGGTCCTCTATTACTTGAGATCCAGCAATTTGTCATGCTTTAGATGCGATATACATTCATTAAACTCAACTGGAAAGAAACGGCTAATTCCAAATTCATTATCCCTTTAAGAACTTTGTAGCAATAAATTTAGTCTGAATGAAATGAGGACTTGTTTAAAAGGCCCAGGAATTTCTCTGACAAAAAAATGGAAAGGCGATTAGATGGTTGACATGGTATGAATGGCAATAGAATTAGCCTTCATGGCGAATTAGAGGAGGAACAGCAATCTTTTAAGGCCAGAAAAAGAGGAAAAACACAGGAATCCAGAGCTGCCACAGCCGAGGAAAAGAGACTGTCCGGAGATTGATGAATGAGGGATAAATCCCGGGACATCTTAAAGAAAGGAGACTTTTCTCTTTCTATAGCCCCTGGTTTAAGTGGAAATTTTCTCAGGTCAAGCACAAAGTTAACCAAATGAATTTAATACCCTTCTTCTTTAAGTCAGCAACAGTTACACGCCTAATAAGCTTCTAAATGCGAGGTCTCAATGCGCTAAATGGGTTAAATACGCTAAATGGGTGGAAATAAAGGGGGAAACGGGGAAAGCAGGAATGGGAAAGTCCCGGAGACCTTGGGAAGAAATCTCTAACAGAAAAGTCTGCGTGTTAAGATTGTACTTTTCAGCTCCCTCCGGCTGACAGCGAGAGCGCTCAGACCCCACCGAAGTCTTAAGCCAGGCGCTACACGAAATACGGTGCGTTTTCTGCAAGTTTATCCCGTTATTGAAATCTACCTGTGGCCCATCAATTAAAATGAAAAAAAAAAACAACAACAACACAGAAAAGGATGAACTAGTTAAACCGACGGCGGCAAGATCACATTAACAAATCGCGAGCAACTTTAAACAGTCCGAATAGAAATTGTTTTTTTTTTTTGGAGAGCATTCACAAAACATCCTGCACATTATTACAGCCTGGGATGCCTTACCTTTTCACTAATTGCTTCGCAATTGTGTCTCACAACGAGCATTCGTTTGTTTTTGTTTTTTATGTCTCCCCCCGTCAAATATGTAGAGAAATATCGAGGATCACCTCATTTCTTTCTGAATACTTTCTCCTCTCGTTGTCGGAAGCGATGCATAGCGCGGAGGAACAACAGGTAGGTGGACACGCGTGTGTCCTTTCACGGAGGCTCAGTGCGAGAATCCCAAAAGGGTATCGGAGACGAAGGCGAGATTTTCACAGGGCTACTCACCTCCAGAGAAAGACTGCGCAAGGACCTCGGCGGTGAAGGCAGTTTTGGGGTTGACGCCGCCGGTCTTCTCTTCAAAGAGGTGCTCCCCGAGCACGTTTCTCCAGCGCCCATAGAGAAAGCTGTGAAGGATGTCTGAGGTAATGATCTCAGACAGGGACAAACCCTGCGGTTTAAATCCAGACTTCAGTACCAAAGCTTCTGCGGGCAGAACTGAACCCATGGCACCGCTAACCGTCAGGACTTAACCCGCTCAAACTCGGGGAACAACGACTTTCTGGCGCTTCTAAGGGCTAGGGCTTTCTGGAGTTCAACCGCTCCCTGGGACTTCAACTACGGCTAGTGCTGTGGGGAATCGGCAAGCAGCGAAGCTGGAAGACAGCGGGTTCGAGAACAACAACACCAACAGCAAAAAAAAAAAAATATTTTGTCAAACAGTATTCCTCCTTTGGAGACGGTTGGCTTGCAAATGTTTCGTCTTGTCCAAGTCTCGCTTCCCTTTATATGTGCCTGGTTTGACCCCTTTCTAATTAGTTATTAATGACCCACCCCTTGTGTTCTATAGACTTGTTCTACTAGAAGAAAAAAAAAAGAGCCAAGCCTTTATTGAGTGGCCACCCCTTTGGGGGAAGAGAGAGAGAGAGCGAGAGGAAGAGAGAGAGGGGAGGCTTGAGACACACCAAGCACCTTTCCGCAGCGGAATAATCTTCAGCCCCGACAATAGCGCATCCACACCCGCTGCTGCCTCGCCCGGGCGGCCGCGGTGCCTTTCTGGGCATCGCGTCATACTTGGCAAAGCAAAAAGCTACATTTACTCAGACAGAACAAACCAGTTCCCACCAGGAAACACGCACACAATGAAGTCGATTATTATTAGTTTTTTGGAGGGAGCAAGCAAAGCACTTGGATCCCCATCTCCTGCTTAAAAAAATAAAAATAAAGATCTTCAACCTGCAGCTCACGAATTAGAAGTTTGCAATTTCACCCTCAACAAAAAATAAAAAATAAATAATAAAACGTCCATCTGTCCAGCACACGAATAACTAGATAAACTATCGTTACAGCTTGTGGTTTATCTGGAAGCGATATTTTCATTACGCATGGAGAATGCGACCTGGCCGTTTTGCTTTTGGCATTGGGTGTCTGATTTAAAACGTTCTAGTTTCACTGATCAGGAAAACGCTAACATCTCTATTTGCAAATCCTGCAATCCAAATCAGGTTTCTTCAGCTTAGAAATTACAAACTGGTTTCGTTTTAATTGCTGTGAACTGCGAGACTCTACAGTGATAACTGCGCTTCGTTTGTGGGGGGCGGTTTTACTAATGCGTTATACAAACATTCCCAAAACAGCCAGTAAATCGAACAGTAATCCACGTGAGTACTGGTTATATAAATGGTTTGATAAGTGCTTCTCGATGGAAGATTTTACCATGATTTTATTGTGACCCTCGCCCTAAATGTCAACGTGTCTCATCAACATTAATCTTAAGGTTAATGTGCCGTAATTATGAGTATTGTTGTGCTGAAAAAATGTGACATTTTATTAGCTTTGAACGGAACAACTTAGGCCCTACCAGTAAAAATGCTCAGACCATATTACGGGAAGGTGGTATGACTGGCAAGTCACTTTTGTGATAAAACTGTCAAAACTAAAAACAGCCTAACATCTCACCGACCCAGGTGAAAACTTTCCTTTCTATCCCAGAGCACGTGGCAGTACAATTGTCGGAAAAAAATCTTAAAAGTACATTTTGAAAAATGGTGAAAACTGAGACACTTCCGTCTGCATTAAAAAAAAAAACTAAATCAGGACAAAACCATGAACGTGATTTGATACGGTTATAGGTACCGTGTAAAAGACTAGGCTATTTATTTTTAAAGCAAAAAAAAAAAACAAAAGAAAAAAAATACAGGTAGTAGAGATTCTGAGAAAGTCAGTAGCAAACACTGTGATTGAACAGCGAACGCCTTTAGGTGCCGTCGCAGTAGTATATGTAAATATGCATGTTTGTGATTGCTTATAAGTATATATTGGAATCGCGTGTCCTGTATGTTTTTCTTTATTGTATCATTTGAATGCCGCCTTTAGGTGAACAGGATATGAAAAAAGTCCGAAAAAACGTACGCAGAAAACCTTTTTTAAATAATTTCATTGAGGAAATATAAATGTTGGGCATTTTGACGGCACAGCATTTTTGTTACAAAAATGATGTCGATAAAAATCCGGTGAACGCGACGTGTTATGTAATCCCATTTCAAAAAAATAATTAAAAAAAAAAGATTTTGCGAAACCGAGAACGTAAACGTTGCGCGGAGACAGAAATGTGTGTTTTTTTGTTGCTTTCTGGTTGCGTTGTTTCCCCCATTCATAACTGCGGAGAGTGAAATTAATAAAGCCCTCGTTAATAACAAACTGAATTAAAGTATGGATACAAGTTTAATGTGTTTTAGCGCATTGTTCGTGGTCATACTAAAAAGAAAATGTCCTTTGACAAAGTCTGTCTTCTGTGCTCCTTCTGTTTTGTAGCGGTAACCGGTTTAATATTCATGGATGTTAATAAAAAGCCTTCAGTATATTGTGACATTGTTAAGAGGTGTATATGTACGGTCTTTCTTTCAGTAGCCACAATTCTCTCTATTTTTCCTCTCTATTTTTCTGGCTTGATGGACTGGGAGTAAATGGGCAGTTTTTTCCTTCTTTTCCAGCAGAGAGAACATCTTTATTCCATCCCAGACTCGCGGGTTTCCCATTCAAGTCCCGGCGAAATAATGTCAGGCGAAAGAAAAGTGCTGCAAATCAATCTTTCATGGTGTTTTTGAGGGCAAATTGACATCCATGCACTCCTCTTTTCTTTGAAAGGCTACAAGGGGATGGTCCGAAAACCGGGACAAGGTTGGGGTCTGATGAGCGGGGGGACAAGGAATGAAATGAAAGTGAAGAAAGGCGCTCGCAGCGGAGCGGGTGACGAGGGGAAGACCAAGGTGAGTGACGGGGCAAGAGAAAAGATTACTGCTCAACAGCTGCTTTTGGGCCGCGCGTTCACCCCACCCCACCCCACCAGCGTTTTTTTTTTTCCGAGGGTTTTTTTTTTCCCCCTTTGCTTTCCTGAATAGGATTTGCACACATTGAGATTGATTTATATTTATTGCAGTTAAACATTTATTGCACTCCAAGACGTTTCAACTTCGGGGGGGTGTGTGGGGGTGGCAAAGTGAGGAGAAAAAGAGGAGAGAGGGGTGGAGGGGGGGTTTTGAGAAGAAAGGGCTCTTTCTTTATTAAAGAGGTATTAAATGAAGTCTATGGAGATAATATGCAGTGACCGAGCTGAATTAGGTTGGCTTTTTCCTAATTAACCCCTTCCAGCACCGGCGCTCCTTCGGAACCGAGCGGTTCTGGAGAGAAAAGGCGCCCTCCAACACCAGCTGCGCTTTGGACCTGAGCACTAAAGCAGCCTTCAGTCTGATTCGCGTGCTTTTCATTCGTTCTGCCTTTTCACTTTTACAATATTTTTTTTTTTTGGGGGTGGGGGGAGAGTTTCGCTACCGTAGCCTACCAAACGTGAGGGAAAATCAGATTCCTCTTCAATATTTTGGTAAGGCTGCTTCACGTTCTCTCTAACAGACTCACACAGGACTATTTCCCACGTAGTTTCCGGAGATATTTCGCCCTGAAATGCTCGTCTTTTCCTATAAACGCTAGACACAGGTGGCGGGGAAAGAGAGAGAGAGAGAGGGGGCACAGAACACGACGACCTCGTCGTTGGACTACCGGTCGTAGTTTAATTTTGTTCCTCCCATCGAGAAGAAAACTGAACTGCGATTAAATGCGAATCTAAAAAGGATTTTGCAACAGATGCGTGATCCATAATAGTTCTTGAAGGATAATTGCTTCTTTTGAGGCTCAACTGGCTGCCCATTGAAAGTTAGATATCTTCACTTAAAGCATCTGTTGGGACTTATATCTCGGCTCCGGGACAGAAACTGCACCCCTCGAACTCAGATCATTATAAAAGATATGAGTTCGCACGGGGGTTCTCGAACAGGTATTGATTTGGCAGCAGAGGTTAAGCAAAACAGAAAGCGCCGAATAATATTAATGTCCATTTGCTTTTAATATCATTTTAAAACCTAGACACGAAAGCACCACCCCACACCACGTCTGAAAATAAAAAACCTAAAGAAAGTGTGTGTAAACTGACACCAACAGGAATATTAAATTAACATCTAACCAACTTCTTGTAGATGTGCCCTTATTAATGCTTAAACGAGATATATAAATTAAGACAATATACGTGTAAATATGAGCAAAATATTCATTCGTACCATCTTAAATAATGATTATTGACTTATTATAAACCACACATGGGAGAAAGAGAAGGAGAAAGTGTACCTGAGAAGTTTCTAAATAAATGTGGAAATCTGGAAAACTGTGACTGGCTACTTTGTGGACAAACAAAATAAATAAAAGTTGTATGATTGCGAGTGTCCCTTTCCATTCTTGACAGGGAAGTCGCACACAAATGGCGAAGTACAACTTGCAAGTGTAAAAAAAGAAATAAGATACAAAGTTACCCTGGTGCGTAATGTATTAAAAATTCATGGCTTTTTCTTCTTTCCAGTTTGGTTCAGTCGCACAAAGAGGCAAGCTGCTGTTTCGCGAGCTTTTCTGTTGCTAGAAAGGAGACAAGACCCTTCGAACAATAGGGATCTGCGAATGTTTTTCAATAGATTTAACTCAATGAACAGTAGATTTTTCCAGGGTAAGAAAATAGAAGCGTTTGGCTGGAAAGACGCGGCTGAATTTAATGGGTAGCGAGAGAGAGAGATGGGTTTTTTATTTGGTGGGATAAAATTTAATTAGCTTAGTACAGCCCTTGAGAGACAATGGGGACTCAATATGTATCCAATCTGAGGCTCATTGGGGAAACAGACTGCTGAAAGTCAAAAGAATTGGGGAGAGAAAGGCAAGCTTTTTAAAACAGGGGCAGGAAGAATGAAGGAGGTTTGAGGCAGGCGGCAGGTGACTGGCACGCGTAAAAACAAGGGAGACACTTTTGGCACAAGGCTGATTATTGAAAAGAAGAGAAGGAAAGAGAAAAGATAGAGGTTTCTCCAGGTTTTACCCACTTAGACCAGCTGAAGACGACGGGATGAAAAGACAGAAAGGACCAGAAGAGGTTTCTAAAGCAAACAGTGCCTATTTAAAAAGCCGTTTGGGATGGATTCAGCACCGGGGGACGTGGTTATGGGAATGCACCCAAATGGTGTGTTTAAAATGGTCCCTGCAAACGGGCTCAGCCGTCCTTTATGTACGGCCCGTATGCATATTCATATAGACGTGTATATAAAGAATTAAGTGGTTCGCGTTCACCGTGAACATCTTTTTAAACATTTCGCAACTGCAAAGATCGGTGGTCTCGTTTCGTCCTGCGTTTTTGTCTCGAATGGCGACATGAAACAGACGCCATCGTTAATAATACAGATATAGGTCTTTCTTTGACATACATACATTAGGGTTGTATTGAGATTAAAATATTGAAAAGGA